CCGCACTGCCACCGCCAACGCACTGCCACCGCCACCGCACTGCCATCGCTCTGCCGCCGAACTGCCATCGACCTGCCGCCGCACTGCCACCGCACTGAGACCGCCCTGCCACCGCCACCGCCCTGCCGCACTGTCATCGCTCTGCCGCCGAGCTGCCATCGACCTGCCGCCGCATTGCCACCGCCACCTCCCTGCCACCTCCTTGCCGCACTGCCACCGCACTGAGACCGCCCTGCCACCGCCACCGCCCTGCCGTTCTGCCATCGCTCTGTCGCCGAACTGAGACCGCCCTGCCACCGCCACCGCGTTGCCGCACTGCCACCGCACTGAGACCGCCCTGCCACCGCCACCGCCCTGCCGCACTGTCATCGCGCTGCCGCCGAACTGCCACCGCCACCCCCCTGCCACCCTGCCATCGCTCTGCCACCACACTGAGACCGCCCTGCCACCACCACCGTTCTGCCGCACTGCCATCGATCTGCCGCCGAGCCGCCATCGATCTGCCGCCGCACTGCCACCGCCACCTCCCTGCCACCTCCTTGCCGCACTGCCACCGCACTGCCACCGCACTGAGACCGCCCTGCCACCGCCACCGCCCTGCCGCCCTGTTATCGCTCTGCCACCGCACTGAGACCGCCCTGCCACCGCCACCGCCTTGCCGCACTGCCATCGCACTGAGGCCGCCCTGCCACCGCCACCGCCCTGCCGCACTGTCATCGCTCTGCCGCCGAACTGCCACCGCCGCAGCCCTGCCGCCCTGCCATCGATCTGTCACCGCACTGAGACCGCCCTGCCACCGCCACCGCCACGGCGCTGCCGCACTGCCGCCGCACTGAGACCGCACTGCCGCACTGCCATCGCTTTGCCACCACACTGTAACCGCCCTGCCACCACCACCGCGCTGCCGCAATGCCATCGCTCTGGCGACGAGCTGCCATCGACCTTCCGCCGCAATGCCGGCGCCACCGCACTGATATCGCTCTGCCGCCCTGATATCGCTATGCCACCCCCTGCTGCTTTCCCTGGCACCCACACTGCGTTTCCGCCCTGCCTATCGACTGAGATTACTCTGCCATACTCTTTGACTCGGCCCGCCTGTCAGCGTTATGCCTCTGAACTGCCCGTCAAAACCCCACGGCATATAACTTG